TGTGTAAGTGTGTGACTGTGTGTAAGTGTGAGACTGTGTGTGTAAGTGTGAGACTGTGTGTGTGTAAGTGTGAGACTGTGTGTAAATGTGAGACTGTGTGTGTGTGTAAGCGTGAGACTGTGTGTGTGTAAGTGTGAGACTGTGTGTGGGTAAGTGTGAGACTGTGTGTTTATGTAAGTGTGAGGCTGTGTGTGTAAGCGTGAGACTGTGTGTGTGTAAGTGTGAGGCTGTGTGTGTGTAAGTGTGAGACTGTGTGTGTGTAAGCGTGAGACTGTGTGTGTGTAAGTGTGAGACTGTGTGTGTGTGTAAGCGTGAGACTGTGTGTGTGTAAGTGTGAGAGATCGCGCAATCAAGTTACAACGGTGCCCTTGGAACGAGGGCGTTCATGCCCCCACTCGTAATTTTATTATTCCCTGCGCCCATTTTCTCAAGACATAAAACAGTTAGAAGAAGAAGAAGTTTAAAGCAGGTACAGCGGTGCTACGAGGCCTTGTCTATAAACAGGGACAGCGCTGTGCATCATCATCAGCTGCTGCTGTGTGTATGGTTTGTTCCCCCTGCCCATCTACACGCCCAGGCACTTGAATCACTCTCAGCATTGGTGTATCCGCTGCTGGATGAAGGTTTCCACCCACACCCCCCTCCCCCTTTAGTAGAGGGTGTGTGACCTTTAGTGGCGGGGTTTTATACGCGTACATGAACGTCTGACTCGAGAGCTGGTTGTTCTGAGAAAGCCGCCAAACATGACACGTGGTTCTCACGTTTGCCAAGCCCGAGATGCGGTGGCGGGGGGGGGGAGGCTGTGGTGTCCACTCGCCTCGTGCCCAGCCGCGTGCCACGAAGCGTGAGGTCCTGGGGGGTGAAGGCACCCCCCACCACCACCCCCACCGCTCCTCCTCCTCTTGACCCCCCCCCCCTCTACCTGCGTGTGCCCACAGAGAGCCTGCGCCAGGCTCACCCCGCCAGGTGTGACCACTTCAACGCCGGCTTCATTCCTCCTCGGGTTTGCAACAACATTGAGGCCCCTTTTTATTGCTTTATAGCTCGCGAAGAAAAAAAAACAGCCCCGCGGGTCATTAAGTTAAAGCTCTGCTCGTATCGGCGCGGCGTTCCCTCTCACGTTGAAGTGGGGAAGGGGGGCTGGTGGGGGGCGCAGGTGAGGGGGTGAGGCTGGAGGGGGGGGGCTAGTGGGGGGCTGGGGGGGGCTGGTGAACTCCATCCCCGGTTATCCCCGAGGCAGCCGCTCCTGCCGCTACTGCTGTTGCCACGTCTCACGCCTTGTCAATGTCACGGAGGCCCTCCCTGCTCCTGAACCCATGTATTCTTTGCGTTTGTTTCACCAAAGCCCACTGAGCTATGTGGCTGTTTTTGAGAAGCGACCTGGCCACAGACGATAGGTCAGGGAAGCCGCTGACAATCATCGTGCGGACATTTCGAGCGATGTCGATTCCAAATGTGGAGGGCAAAACCAGAGGACCGGGAGAAAAGCTCACGTGACTACGGGGGGAGAGAGAGAGAGAGACCGCACACTCCAAATGTACAGCAGGCTCTTTGGTTCTATTGGGTAAAGTCACGTAGGTAAAAAATAAAATAACAAAAATCACGACGTTTCGGCCACAACACAAGCGGCCTTCATCAGGTGAAGGGACGAGACTGTCTGGGGGACAGCGCTGGAGTGAAACGTCGTGATTTTTGTTATTTTATTTTTTACCTACGTGACTTTACCCAATAGAACCAAAGAGTATGGATCCTTGCAGTCACGAAAGCTTTAAATCTAGAATGTACAGCAGGCGTCGGGGTCGGGATCGAACCCACCTCCCTCCTGCACACCAGGCGAGGTAGTTAACATCTCGTCACCGCGGCAGCTACGGCAGCGGGAGCTCTGGACAGGCCTTCTCGAGGGTATATTGCCCAACACTTCCATGCCGGTACAATTAGGAGCACCCACACTTTACCCCACCACACGAGAGCTGGCAAAAGATGGACTGAGGCGGGGGAGGGTGAGTTAAGAACCTTGCATTTTCGTTTCAAAATTCCGCGCCGGTAGGTGGCGGCAGTTGAAACGATGGCAATGCCCCGCTCAAGATGCTTGGACGCAGTGGAAGAGTCCTCGTGAAGAGGACTGCGGGGGGTGGGTGGGTCGAGGGGCTTGCCTGGCGAAGGCTGCGGCACCGCTCCGGTGACCTACAGCGGGGACGCCTCGAGGGTGCTGGTCGTGAGTGCAGGCAGGCCTCGCTTAGCGCCCTAGAGTCGTCGTTCTACGGGGTCTGCTTGTACCAGCAGCACCGCTGAGTTGGATCGAGAGCACCAACTCCGACAGGTCTCGTGGGGGGTCACGTGGTGAGTGTGGTGAGTGTGGTGAGTGTGGGGGTGACGTGGTGAGTGTGGTGAGTGTGGGGTGACGTGTTGAGTGTGGTGAGTGTGGAAGTGACGTGGTGAGTGTGGTGGTGAGTGTGGTGGTGAGTGTGGTGAGTGTGGGGTGACGTGTTGAGTGTGGTGAGTGTGGAGGTGACGTGGTGAGTGTGTAGGTGACGTGGTGAGTGTGGTGAGTGTGGAGGTGACGTGGTGAGTGTGTAGGTGACGTGGTGAGTGTGTGGTCAGCGTCTATCGGGGCTGCTGCCGCTACATTGGGGATCTTCGTCTTCGGAGATCAGCAGACAGCCACGCCGCTTGTCGGGCAGGGCAGTAAAGGGAGTTGAAGGGCAGCAAAGGGAGTTGAAGGGCAGTAAAGGGAGTTGAAGGGCAGTAAAGGGAGTTGAAGGGCAGTAAAGGGAGTTGAAGGGCAGTAAAGGGAGTGGAAGGGCAGTAAAGTGAGTTGAAGGGCAGTAAAGGGAGTTGAAGGGCAGTAACGGGAGTTGAAGGGCAGTAAAGTGAGTTGAAGGGCAGTAAAGGGAGTTGAAGGGCAGTAAAGGGAGTTGAAGGGCAGTAAAGGGAGTTGAAGGGCAGCAAGGGAGTTGAAGGGCAGTAACGGGAGTTGAATGGCAGTAAAGGGAGTGGAAGGGCAGCAAAGGGAGTTGAAGGGCAGCAAAGGGAGTTGAAGGGCAGCAAAGGGAGTTGAAGGGCAGTAAAGGGAGTTGAAGGGCAGATAGAAGGGAGTTGAAGGGCAGATAGAAGGGGTGGAAGGGCAGCTAAGAGGCAGAAGAAGAGAGAGTGGCTGCATGGGTTGAGAGCTCTACATGAAGTTGTTGAATAATAACAACAAAACAACAACAGAAGTGTCACAGTGTGGGATAGGTTCCTTTGTTACATATTTTATTAAAATCGTATCACCCATCTAAGTCTTCTCTTATACTATGAACACTTAGCGTAATAACTGCTCGGCACACCGCACACAAACGCGACCCGCTACCGGACTGCGCCGGATGCCCCGCTCGGACACGCTGCGCGTGGCGAGCAGCAGCCCCACGGCAGCACGGCGAGACACCCGGCTCGTGAGCCGCGTGCGCCCAAACAAACACCGCGAATGCCGGCGGCGTCGTGCGGGATTCACGCCACGACCACAGTGGATGCGGTCCGCTCCGCGTGACGCCCGCTACGCACGACCTCCGCTCGCTATGCCACCCCGTGCCAACGCGATAACCACCGTGCCAATACGACACACACACACCGTGCCAACGCGATAACCACCGTGCCAAAACGACACACACCGTGCCAACGTTGATACACCCCGTGCCATCGCAATACACACCGTGCCAACAAGATACACACACCGTGCCAATACGACACACACCGTGCCAACGTGATACACCCCGTGCCAACGTGATACACACCGTGCCAACGTGATACACCCCGTGCCAACGTGATACACACCGTGCCAACGTGATACACACCGTGCCAACGCAATACACACACCATGCCATCGCGATACACACCGTACCAACGCAATACACACACCATGCCATCGCGACACACACATTGCCAACGCGATACACACCGTGCGAAACGCGATACACACCGTGCCATCACGATACACCCCGTGCCAACGCGATACACACACCATGCCAACGCGACACACACCATGCCAACGCGATACACACCGTGCCAACGCAATACACACCGTGCCGTGTCAAATACAGCAGGTAGATTTGGGGCGAGATGTTAACTACCTCGCCTGGTATACAGGAGGTCGTGGGTTCGATGCCGACCCTGACGCCTGCTGCTGTATATTTGGAGTTTGCGTTTCTCTCTCCCCGTGGTCGCGCGGATTTGTCTCCGGGTCCTCCGGATTTTCCCTCCATATTTAGAACCATGGGTTTAGCGCATTTTGTTGCTACAAATTTCCACACGACAAGCCACTTCTATGAGCTATCGTGTGGCCAGGTCGCTCTTGAAAATGAGCTGATACAGCTCAGCTATCCTTACCTGGTGAAATAAATTAAAAAAAAATGCTTCGTAATTTCCGGTTTTCTTCCATCGCTTTGACGTGAGAGGAATCTGACTTTCGCGATATAAGTCCAGGGAGCAAGACGGGGAAAAAACACAACTTGCTCGGCACCGGGCGCTTCTGTGCAGTGAGCCTGGCGGTCCGAGCCTCATCGCTCACAGACAGACCACACGCACGGCAGCAGTCCGATCTCACACTGAGCACGCGGATAACGAGTGGATTACGGGTCGACTTTAATACAATATACAAAGTAACAGCGTGAAGGGAGACATGGGCTAGCTTTACAGTCTTCATTCCTTAATACGGTTGTTCGTAACCTATTTAGCACTACCAAACTAAAACTACTCCGTAATACAACGAGAATAACATCTGGAACCGCAAATGCAAACCCGTACAGTGCACAGCACGATTACTGCCGTGTCTGCTCTTTTACACGAAGCTTCGGTGCGCCTCTTCGCCTCGACCCACGGCGAGTTGCGGCTCAATCGCGATTGTCTCTCAGTGTGCAGCAGCAGCAGCGTCACTCGCGAGCGAGCGTGCACCACACACACACACGCGCAATCGCATGCGCACACACACGCGCAATCGCATGCGTACACGCACACACACGCACGCAATCGCACACACACACACACGCGCGCGCAATCGCACACACACACACACGCAATCGCACACACACACACACGCGCGCTTGCCCCCGTTTTTGATCGGCCAGGCTGCGGATCGGCATTCGCCCCGCCGTGTTCACGGTGTGTGGTGCACCAAGAACAGGTCAACGTGCAGCCCTGCGGTTGTTCGACGGGAGGCGCCTCGTGCACTCGAGCGAACTCCCCCCCCTCTCCCCGCACCCCCTCCGCGAGGGCGCCTGCTCCACCGTGGTCGTGCCGCTCTGCATCGCCGCTGGGCGGACAGACCCCGGGGAGACGGCAGCGAGCCGGCGACACGCCGCGTCGTGCTGACGCTTGGCGTTCCGCCGCGTCGTGCTGACGCTTGGCGTTCCGCCGCGTCGTGCGCCACTCCTTGCACGTTTCTTCATTCGCGTCGCACGTGTCTGGTGGACGGCGAGAGGCGAGTTTCACGCGAGCGACGGGGGTCAAGTGAGTGTCTGGTGAGTGCCGAGTTGTGGGTTGCGAGTGCCCTTGGCGTCGAGTGTGCCAGCTGACGGCGAGCGCCTTCGGGCGAGCGTGTGGTCCATGGTGAGCGACGAGTTGCGCCACGCGAGCGGTGAGCGTGAACAGCGAGGCACGCGGTGACACGGGCAGAGCTCGTCGCAAGCAGGCTTTTGGAGGCACGCGCCGGTGACGGATCTCCGCATCGATAGCGTCGAGTCTCCCGTTGGTAAAGGCTGCGCATTCCTATTTCGCGACCTAAATACAAGAAACATCCCCCAACGGCGCTTTGCGCTTCAAAGTTGCACGTGGAGCGGAGCTGCGGCTTCAGCGTGGCATCATCTCACGGGGACTGCACCTCCGCCCTATTTTTCACTTCACACGGAGCCGTCGGTGCACATGGCCTGCATCGTGGGGGGGGGGTGGGGGTGGGGGGAGGCTGTGCGGCCGTCATGCACCACACAGATTCGCAGATTCACTCGGCTCATAAGCGGCAGGGCCAGGGAGGCCACGCAGCGTCACTTCGTCGCACCGGCGATTGGTGTCACGCGGCTCCACTCTACCTGAGAGAAGCTCCATTCTATTTACACGTCCTGAACGCGGCATGCACGGGGAGAGGAACACTCTAAGCCAGGGGACAGCTCGGAGAGGGAGAGATGCCAAGCAGGGAGGTAGACGTTTGGGGGGGGACATGAGGGGCGACGCGGGGGGTGGGGGGGGGGGGGTGGGGGGGACACACGCGGGAGACACGGCCGGGCCCGTCGGCGCTCGCGAGCGGCGCCAGGACCCCGCGGCGTCGCCGTCACTGGCAGTACAGGGTGAGCACGTTCTCCTGGTTGCCGCGCATGAGCAGCACGGGCGGGCGCAGGTCTTGCGAGATGGTCTCCAGCCAGGCCATGTAGAGCGCGCTGGGGCAGACGCCCTTCCGAGGCAACGGCATGCACCTGCGTCCGCGCGTCGGGAGAGGCACGCGCGCGGCGGTTAACCCGGGCGTAGCCTGCGAAGGCGAGGGCGAGCGATCGTCACCGTTCAAGTTGTCCGAATTAACGACGTCCAGTTTTTAGACCAGACGTCGGTCTTCGTTGTAACAGGCGGGGGCCAACGCGAGGCCGTCTCCCGCTCAATGTAAACGTTGAGCGGGAGACGGCCGCAGTGGAGACGACTGCGGCCGCGCGACCCAAACCACGGACGACGTCGTGAGCCCACTGCGGACTGCGCTCCCTCGGCAGGGGAGCGACAGCGAGAGGGGGCGAGCTCTCTCCCGAGGCCCTCCCGTCGTGGCCAGCAGACCTCGACATTGGGCGTTTAGCTCCTGAACAGATTTGCCGTGCGCAAGAAGGGAATTGCTCAGGGCGGTGGGAGGGATGTGCGGGGTGAGTAATTGGCGGCCATTATTCGCAAGCGCTTGAGTGCTGCTCTCTCAATAATCAGAAGTGAAAAGTTCCATTCAGAGAGAGAGAGAGAGATCCCTTCGATTTTGTGAGGTCCAATCAGGGAGAGGGCAACAAGGCAGAGGCCTAGCTGTTGGATCCCGAACAGTCGGACTCTGGGCAGCAGTAGCCAGGAGTCGTAATGCCTGCCGCTGTATAACCTGGGCGTGGGCATCTTGGCTAAAATACCAAATGACAACCATTACAACTCTGCCACTGCAAACTATAAAACTACAAACTAAACTATTTATTTTTATTTTACCAGGCAAGGCCCACTGGACTGAATAACTCTTTTTCAGAAGCGACCTGGCTGCAAGTGATAGCCCAACGAAGTGGCTTGTCGTGTGGAAATGTATCGCAGCCAAATGCCCGAAACGCACGTTTCTAAATGTGGAGGGAAAAAACGGAGTACCTTGGAGAAAAAACCACGCGATCAATTAACAGGTGTCAGGGCCCATAACAGACCCACGCCTTCTGAATAACAGACGAAGTAGTTAACATCTCACTACAGTGGCACACCGTGTATGTCCCTGTGTATTGCAACACCAAAAAAAACTCATCAATAGCACTGCTAATGATGATGATTGCTTGTGTTGCAGTCGGAACGTCGTGATAATTTTATTGTTTTATATATATAGTTTTATTATTATTTTATTGTTTCCCTTCTACGTGGTGACTTTACCGAAAGAACCAAGACTATGAATCCCTGCAGTCACGAAAGCTTTAAATCAAAATAGCACTGCCCTTAATGAGTTGAGTCATTCCCGCTGCTAACTTGCTAACAGAGTGCTACTCATTTTAGTGACCTCGGAGGGATGACCTTGAGCGGCCGGTGGCCTGCGGTCTTTCCCTCGTGCCGCGGGCGTTAATCCTCGACAACAAGTGACCAGCCAGCCACTTCGTTAGGTTGAGAAGCACACAGGAGGCGCGTGCGCCGTTTTCTCATTGTGACGCTCGCACGCTCGTGCATGGCTTCCACACCGCTCGGGCCTGGCAGAACGACGCGTGCATCGCGTCGGTGAGATTCTGCCTTTCCGACAGCCCCTCTCTCTCTCTCTCTCCGCTGTGGGGCTTCGAGGCTGCGTTTTACCGCGAGTAGGCGGCTGCTTATTCCGCGTTACGACATCGCGCGGAAACATGTGGAACATTTGACTACGGGGTATTTTACGCAACCCTGCTTTACAGACTCGTAATGCGTGGCCCTAATGGCTCGCAATAAACGCAGACCGCTGACCGGTTCTGGGTTAAGGGGTTCACCTGCACCTCAAGGTGGAAGCGAGTTAATTACTGATACCGCGTTACATTCATATTATTATTATTGCGGAGACTTCCGCTGAGCGTGGGAGTTACAACGGCGTGGAATGAGCCACGAGCTGCTTTGTCGTGCCGCCAGCAGTGGCTACTGAGGGGTACGGTGCGTGCGCGGCAATGAGCCGACTAAGTGAAACATAGAGTGTCTTCTTACTTATGCGGCCTAACGACGTTCATTCTAAAGACATGAACAAACAAATTCAATACATGGAATCAGGGGCGGAGCCAGGGGGGGTGACAGGGGTGACATTCTGCGTGTGTAAGTGTACGACACTCGGTCTGGCGGACTCCGTGCAACTGCATTGCCAGAGCGTGTCGCCAACCGATGGCGTCTAGTTCAACAGCCTGACTCTCTAAATCATTCTTGAAATTAACATTTGTTGAATGTCACCCCGGCCTGAAATCCTGGCTCCGCCCCTGCATGGAATCTGCGCCGGCTGTAGAAGACCAATGTTTTCGTGAGTTGCAGTAAAGTCGCTTACAGCTCTCTTAATATCACAAGATAAGTTTTGTACCACCGCCGTTTCACGAGCGTGGCTGTGAAAGCCATTCGCCAGCGAGCCGTACACGTTACACGCGCCAGCCGCAAGCGCGACGCTGAGCAGGAACGAAGCTAGCGCGTGCGTGCATGATGGCGGCACGTGCCAGCGCAGCTACCGTTCGGTGGCGTCTACGTACGAGTGCGCGTGTGCGCGTTCGAGTGCAAGCTGGAACGGAGACTGCTGGGCGCCCCTGCTCTGCCCTTGGAGCACGTGGCGTAACATCCCCGCGTGGGAGCCACGCAGGGATCCCCCGCGGAGTGAACGGAGCCAGCCAGGGCGCAACTCCTCCGACGCTGGGCGCCCCGGGCTCCCCCGGGGTCACTGACCGTGGACCGTTGCGCATGTTTACACGGGCCCCACGCGCGAGCGGGCGGCGTGATTGCTGGCGGCGCCTGCGGACGCGCGCGAGCGCTTTTGTGTGCGCGAGTCGCTGCTCGTGCCAGTGGCCGCTTCACCGCCTGCCCTCGGTGATCGCTGATAACCGAGTGGCCAAATGGCACTCGCTTCTCCGCCCTTCTGGCATCTGGCACCGAACTGAAACCAGGGCGTATTGTCAAATTGGCGTGCGTTGACCTTCCTGAATTATTTTTTCTCGAACTGCCCACATCTTGTCCGTGGAGTAAAAAAACAAAATCAATTTGGCGCACGTAAGGACTAGCGCTTGACCTGGCGGCTATCAATGATTGACGCAGTGGTACTGGGTGAGCGGTGCATCGCAGACAATTACTTCTGTAGCCTACATGCACCTGACGAGCACTGGTCTCAGTTAACGGCTCATAGTTAATTATTTGTGGAGATTGGCGGCTATTCAATTACTACTTGGTTGGGAAATAATCAATCTTTATGCAAAAATGCTTTCAAGGGTAAAACAATCACTGATCTTGAAGCACAATGCAGCAGCGGCGCGCCTGCTCCTCTGCAGAGTACGCAGAGCGACCGCAGTGCGCACGAACGCACGCACGGGAGAGTGTGGGCGCGTGCATGCAGAGGCACTCACACGATGACGAGGGCCGAGTCCCGCGAGTAGTCCAGCAGGATCTCGTTCAGCCGCACCTGGCGCGTCGTCTGAGGAGAGAGAGAGTATTCGTGAGCACTTCCCTGGACCCCCCCCCCCGCCCCCCCAACTTCCCCCACCCCCCACACCCTCCAACTGGACACACGAAAGCACGCACGGACGCACACACGCTTAAAACGGTGACGGTAACTGACAAGGTTGCTCTTGTGTCTTTTCTTTTTAAGTAAGCCGCTTGGACCACGTGGTGAGAACTCTAAAGGGTCCGTTTTGCAAGCGTGACCCGGCTCGCCACAGCGACAGCGGCGATGGCGACAACAACAAAAAATCCACACGACAATGAAGCAAGCAGAAATGAAGGGCAAACAAGCAGCAGATGGACATCAGAGCAGGAGCGCTGCAGAACAGAACACACCGAGCGTGGTGACGCGGTAACGGTTTTAAAGCCATCGGTGAACCATCAAACCATTGTAAACCACCACGCAGCGGGATTGAACTCATCAGCATCGATGTGACCTGAAGTTTGCACCTGGAACTTTCGGAAGATTCGTACAAAGCGCGACGAGAGACGGAAAGTGAGGCCGAGCGGCGTGCTGTGTACGATTCGCGCCTTGCGGCTGTTTTAATATCGGTGGAATCTGCAAAAGAGGACCTACAGAATGACGGCGTAATAGATATACTGAGTGATATACTGCCACTGAGGGTGCCCTTCGAATGTTCGAGATGGGATGCGACGCAAGGCGCTGTGGGATGAGGAGGCATGTAAGTGAGGGCGAGAGGTGAGAGGTGAGTCACGATGGAGTGTAACACATGACTCACGATGGAAGGTGACACGTGACTCACGATGGAGGGTGACACGTGACTCGCGATGGAGAGTGACACGTGACTCACGATCGAGAGTGACACGTGACTCACGATGGAGGGTGACACGTGACTCACGATGGAGGGTGACACGTGACTCACGATGGAGAGTGACACGTGACTCACGATGGAGGGTGATACGTGACTCGCGATGGAGGGTGACACGTGACTCACGATGGAGTGACACGTGACTCACGATGGAGTGACACGTGACTCACGATGGAGGGTGACACGTGACTCACGATGGAGAGTGACACGTGACTCACGATGGAGGGTGATACGTGACTCACGATGGAGGGTGACACGTGACTCGCGATGGAGAGTGACACGTGACTCACGATCGAGAGTGACACGTGACTCTCGATGGAGGGTGACACGTGACTCACGATGGAGGGTGACACGTGACTCACGATGGAGAGTGACACGTGACTCACGATGGAGGGTGATACGTGACTCGCGATGGAGGGTGACACGTGACTCACGATGGAGTGACACGTGACTCACGATGGAGTGACACGTGACTCACGATGGAGGGTGACACGTGACTCACGATGGAGAGTGACACGTGACTCACGATGGAGGGTGATACGTGACTCACGATGGAGGGTGACACGTGACTCGCGATGGAGAGTGACACGTGACTCACGATCGAGAGTGACACGTGACTCACGATCGAGAGTGACACGTGACTCACGATGGAGGGTGACACGTGACTCACGATGGAGGGTGACACGTGACTCGCGATGGAGAGTGACACGTGACTCACGATCGAGAGTGACACGTGACTCACGATCGAGAGTGACACGTGACTCACGATGGAGGGTGACACGTGACTCACGATGGAGGGTGATACGTGACTCGCGATGGAGGGTGACACGTGACTCACGATGGAGGGTGACACGTGACTCACGATGGAGTGACACGTGACTCACGATGGAGGGTGACACGTGACTCGCGATGGAGAGTGACACGTGACTCGCGATGGAGGGTGACACGTGACTCACGATGGAGGGTGACACATGACTCACGATGGAAGGTGACACGTGACTCACGATGGAGGGTGACACGTGACTCGCGATGGAGAGTGACACGTGACTCACGATCGAGAGTGACACGTGACTCACGATCGAGAGTGACACGTGACTCACGATGGAGGGTGACACGTGACTCACGATGGAGGGTGATACGTGACTCGCGATGGAGGGTGACACGTGACTCACGATGGAGGGTGACACGTGACTCACGATGGAGTGACACGTGACTCACGATGGAGTGACACGTGACTCACGATGGAGGGTGACACGTGACTCACGATGGAGAGTGACACGTGACTCACGATGGAGAGTGACAGGTGACCGAATCCCCACGGCGGCCCCATTACCTTCTCCTTGAACTGTTTCAGCTCCGCATCGGAAATCTTCCAGGGGCAATCTTTCCGCATCTCGTTCACGACCTCCTCCTCCTTGAATCCATCGTTGAGCTGATATGGAGCCACCATGTCCTCAAACCGCTTCATGCTGTGTCAAACGCCACAGTGCATCGCTTAATTAGAACGAACGTCGTCATCGTCATTATCGTACAGGCCTTAGTCACACATTGTCAGCCATGGAGGTTGTTTCACCACACGCTGGTCAGTGCTAATTGGTGAAGCAGATATATCGCTCGCCATGATGTCAGCCCTCGCCAGAGTCGAACTCAAGTCGCCGAGCTCACGGCGCAGTGTGAACGATTGTGACTCGCACAAACTCATTGATTTCGTGTTCCACCTGTGTCCCCATTCCCCCGTGTCCCCCTTGTTCAGTGCGACGCCGGTTACTGTCACCAGCAAGCCAACCGCAACCGGCGCGTCGCTCAACGCTTGCGCACCACGTGACAATTGAGTTTGTTTGGCTGCGTTGGGTAGTGAGGGGTCTTCACGACGCACATTTAGTCAGATCATTACACGGGGACAAACCCAAATGTGTTAAATTATGAATCGTAACATTGGCGCTAAAACCTACGCTTTAAAGTCAAACGCCTCGTGTTTACCATTGCAATGAGTGTATGTTACGTGCTGTACACTAACAACTGCATATATCTTGTGTGTGTGTGTGTTTGTTTATTTGTTTCTCGTGCCCACTCACTGTTCGGGCCTTGGCTTCTGGTTGAGGTCAGGCAGGATTTGGATATCTTTGAATCCCAAGCGGAACTGCTCCAGCAGAGTCACCATGCTGCACGACCGCACAGTGAACACACGACAGCCGTTATACCGTATGTACCGTATACATGTGTGTGCGAGGAGGCGGTCGTTCTCCCACAACAGTGGAGGGTGGAGGAGCGACGCTCACAATGACGAGCGGAGCGCCGGGCGGATAAAACGCAGCACGATAGCACATTACAGGGCGCAGGTGGTGCATCTGCAGTCAAGGCACCTACTGGGTCCCGTGACTTGCCAGGTGGCCTTCGAGACTTCACGTGGCAGAAGCGCCGTAGTGATGTCACCGCCACTTAGTGGTGATTGGCAGTCTTTGTTGTTGTGTGTGTTCGTTGCTGTTTCTGTGCGTGCGGGAACGTACGAGCGCCGCTCTTCGTCGAGCCGGATGATGTGGCCGCCCACGAAGACGCGCACCTTGCAGTCTCTCCAGCGCTTCTTGCGAGTCAGGAGGTAGGGGATGAGGAGGGTGAGCCCTGTGGTCCGCAGCACACCCACAAGCAGTCAACACAACGCAGAACACCGCAGCACATGGCAAGCGCCACCACCGCACACCGCTAGCAGTCAGCACGCCGTTTAATAGCCATCCGCTGCTGCTGCGTCAATCGCTCTCGGCAACGAGATGAGAACGGGAGGAAAACGATCGGTGTCTCCAACTACGCTCTCACGCTCTGAGCGGACGCAGGCCGATCGCTGTGCGGCGAGTGCTCGTGCTGCGCGGAATCACCCACCGCCGTCATCGAAGAGCCAGTACACGTCAATCGTCTTCTTCTCCTGCTTGCTCTGGAAGATGGTGCTCGCCTGCTCCGCCTCCATGGCCAAGTCTTCGTCCCCTGCGCGGCGGTGGGGGAACACGCACAACCTCGTGTGAGACTGAGATAGGCCCGAGTCACAGTTGGCGGTACAGCGAGCGAGATCTTTTCCAGCCGTGTTAAACGCTTGTACGGGGATAGAGTGTTGCGCCCTCGCACGTGTGGGTTTTCATCGGCTCCTCCGGTTTGCTCCCACGTGCATAAACATCGCATTCATGGAGTTGACCAAACATCGCAAAAATAGGACCACAGAGCTCTGGCAATTATTGGCACCGGTTCTGGCTGCCTTCTCAAGTGTTTGCGGTTTCCCGCGCTTCCGTGCAACAGCTGTGCGCATTATACATTATTTAGTGTTTTGATTTGAAATTTGCATGCCTTGCGGTGTAAATATATAACATATATATAAAACTAATAATCCGTTAGAGCTCACTGCTCGATCTGCGCATGGCTCGTATCAGCAAGAGAAGCCTCCACGTGACAACGCCTGGAGGGTGGAGAGAGACCGCTGGCACAGAAGCCCAGCAACGCTTCTCCCCATCATGGAAATGACACATTGCTAGAGCAGAGACTAGTCTCTGACGGGCTGTATCGCTAATTGCAAAGATGAACTATTACATCTGAAATTTGACAAACTGGAAACTAAATTTTAATTCATTGGTGGCTGAGCGTGATGCACAATTGAAGTCCTTTGGTCGTGACCGTCCATCAGTCCCTCCCTCCCCTCCCTTCCTCCCTCTCGACGTGACGTCCGGCCAGCCAGCCAGAAAAAAAAAACTGTATTTCGAACATAGAATCGCTGCTTTATTTTGCATGAAAGAAAGGAAAGTACAATCGTTTTTTAGCTCATCAAAATAAGCTAAAACAATGAAGTGCCATTCACGTAAAAATGTTAAAGAAAATATTAAAAATGCTAATAAAAAACTGACATTTGAAAGCAACACAGTGAATGTGTTGTAGAGTAGAACCGCTCGGCGTACTCACCGTTCGTGATGGAGTTTCCGTTTGTACTCTCCATTTGCACCTTGACCTCGCCATCGTCAAATGCGTGGTTCACTGTCGTGACATCACACAACAGGGGTCTCGCTCGGCTCTCGCGACGAAGCAAAAGCCGTCAAATCGAGATTCCTCGGCCTCAAATCCATCACTCTGTTCATCCCCTCCACCGTCCCCCAGCCTCCACCACTCCACCCCTGTGTTGATTTGTTTTTACTTTATTATAGACATAAGGTACAAACTATAACTGAGAATCAGAGTGCCTCTCTGCCCAAGCAAGCAAAGAGAAAACATTAATTTACATCACTGCTGGACATTCCACATTCTCACGGTGAGGGCCATTCTCTTCGTAAGACAACTGCAGTGGTAGTCACCCGGCCACTCCTGGAGTACTCCTATCCTGTGCGTTGTTTGCGCTCCAGACGCCTCTCTCCCGAACCTTATCCCAGCCGTGAAGCCCTCCAAAAACTCCCGCGCCTTTCTTTTGAACCCCCCCAGCCAACCCCAAGCTCGCTGGTGGAACGGACGAAGGATCGTGAGTGGCTGTTCCTCGTGGCCAATCGGGATCTCGTCCCGGCACAAGTGACCCCCCCCCCCAGCCAATGGGAACCTCACAGCATCCGATTCGAACCGTTAGGTTGGTCCGCTTGCCGCAGGCGACGATGTAAATAAATAATTAATCAGGGATCGCCTCTTGGCGTCCTCTTACATTATTGCACCACGGCTAAAAAAAATATCATGGTGGTGTAGAGTACACAGGCGAGTGCGGGCATGCACGGCCGTGCTCGTGTCCTCACCGTGGGCTCGCTTGATGCGGGAGATGTCCAACCCCTCCTTCATCCGCAGCACGCAGAGGCCAAAGCTGAACTCCAGCGCGTCGCTGTAAACACAAAAACACGCGCAGGCACCACAGCGATGCTCACATCTCAAGCACGTTCACCACAGCATTGCTGGACGACAGCACTGGGGGCAGCCCTGGCCGGGTGGCTCAGTGGCAGAGCGAGTGATTGGCAAATCGTAAAGGTATGTGGGTTCAGATCCTGGTCGGTGGGGTTGACTCAGCCAATCATACCTCTAGGGTCAATCAAATAAGTACCACTTTACAGGGAATTCAACAGTGGTTTTCCTATGGAGAGAGTCGCCCATGCCATGGAAATGAGGAATTTCCACCTCTGGCTGAATACGGGCTCTAAACAGAAGACAAGCAGCAGTGCCTCATTGCTCAATCGAGCAGGAAATCAACTCTCGACTTTGTCCAGTGTTTTGTTCCCGGCTCACTGTCCACATCCTCGCCTCTGGAGTCCTCAACTGGTTCAACGAATAAAGTCTCTAACACGCTGTCCCGTGGCTCATGGGAGCGCGTGACGACCCCGTGGCCTCTGGGTGGGCGACCTACTGCATGATGTTGACGTAGTTGTCCATGTTGCGAGGGTGGTCCACCTGCCAGTTCTTCTTGAAGCCCATGAAGAGGACGTTTGGCCGCATCTTGCCCAGGCCGCTACCCTGCACGCAGGAGCAGCAGCAGAGGCCACATGGTGACACCAGTGTGGGTGTGCGGTGTGAACGTGTGTGTGTGTCGAGTCAGCCTAGTGTGATGTGTAAACATCACCACTAGGGAGACAAAGGTGGCCGGGCGCGGTGTTGGCCACCCACCCCTTGTGTCAAAATCCGGAACTTTATCCTGACATCCTGCCTCCTGTCCTGAAGGTGCCTGCCGCAGTTTCAAGCGAGCGCCAATCAAATTCGTGACGAAAGACGAACATAATCGCCACGTGCTCGAGCATCTAACTAATCAATTCATATTCTTTCAGCTCAACGGCAAATTAAAACGACCGAATGTATCAATTAGATATGACGTCTCGCTTGAAAATTTGCCAAGCATCTACAGGACACGATCCAAGAAGTACGTCCCCGAGTACTGTGGCGCATTGCCGCATGCGCCCGGCGCATCGCCGCGTGGGTCCGGAGCGCCACCACGTGCATGCGTCGAACCTGCATGAGGATGTGGACTCCGGAGCGCACGTCGTCGGCCACCACGGGCCGGTAGAACGTCTTCACTTTGCGCTTGTTGAGCCATGCGACGTGGCCCGGCGCGTTCAGCTCCGGCAGCTTGTCCTTGCGCGACCCCTGTCGCTCGCAGGCAGCGCGCAGAGTAAAGTTAGCAGCTGACAGTGCATGCAGACGGCCGCTGCTTCGCAGAGGGAGCTGCCGCACGCGCGGCGCGAGTGGCGCTGACACGTGGCGGCCAACATTCACGTCCGTCCCATTAGACAAAGACGTGGCCGACAGTGTAGAACTTTGTGAATGTGCTTTGTTCAGCAACTGGCATCACGATATAAACCCTAACCCTACTACCCATAATGTAGACGCAACTTGCAAGGGTTTTAAATAGGGCACTATCATGTGTTCATCATCCTCTGATTCAAAAGATACAAAAATAACGTTAATTTAAATTTTGATTTAAAGCTTTCGTGACTGCAGGGATTCATATTCTTGGTTCTTTCGGTAAAGTCACGTAGAAGGGAACCAATAATATAATAAAAATATAAAACAATACAATTCTCACGACTTTTCGACGCAATACAAGCAATCATCATCAGGTGTGGAAACCACAGCAAGAAAATTTGAAAAAAGTGGCGGTTTTAACGTTAGCACCACGGAGAGCGATTTGGCAGTTATTCAGGTGGACGAGTCCATCTATGTTCGGAGAAGAGGAGGGGGGAGACGAAAATAATGGGTGCGGTCTGAAAGCCACCGTAAGCGTGAACAATCAATTAAGACCCGAAATGGTTTATCAAATCCTTCCAATGATTGTTAAGCCAAAATCCATCTTCTCGGTTGAAATTGTCTCTGTGTTTGTATATGTGGATAGCCTCATGAACGAATCTCTCATGGTAGCCAGATGGCTTGCAAAGAACCTCTGTCTTGGAGAAGTCAATGTCATGTGAGCCTACTGTATTATAACAGTGAGCTGCCACGACCGAGGTGTTGGTCCTACCGTGTTTTAGGTCTGCTTTGTGTTCACGAATGCGGTCCGAGACTTGTCGTTTGGTTTCTCCAATGTATCTACTACCACAGAGGCAACTTAGTTTGTAGACGCCAGGGTACTCTATGTCCGGAATCACATCTTTTACAGACGGAACCAGATCACGGATTTTATGTAATGTGTTTAATTGTACATGGATCTTGTGTTTATTCAAGATCAGGGACATACTTTCTGGCTCACATCTGGCTACCATGAGAGATTCGTTCATCAGGCTATCCACATATACAAACACAGAGACAATTTCAACTGAGAATATGGATTCTGGCTTAGCAATCATTGGAAGGATTTGATAAACTATTTCGGATCTTAATTGATTGTTCACGCTTATGGTGGCTTTCAGACCGCATACATTATTTTCGTCTCCCCCCTCCTCTTTTCTGAACATAGATGGACTCGTTCATCTGAATAACTGCCAAATCGCTCTCCGTGGTGCTAACGTTAAAAAAAGACGCCACTTTTTTCAAATTTTCTTGCTGTGGTTTTCACACCTGATGATGATTGCTTGTGTTGCAGTCGAAACGTCGTGCGAATTTTATTGTTTTATATTTTTATTATTTTATTGTTTCCCTTCTACGTGACTTTAACGTTAATTTAGTGACAATGTACTATGTATATATCCTCTGGTAAATATCAATAAATCGCATCTTGTAACGCCCACCATTTACATCAATTGTCTCTTACGCGGAAATAATTTTTGCTTAACGCGCCGCTTTTCAGGAACGCATCTGGCACGTTCAACGAGGAATCACTGCACGTGGGTACACCCAGGCCAGGATAACAGCAGGGCCTGCGGGTGGATGTGTGCAGGGTCCCAGTGGGGGGCGGTGGTTTGGGGGAGGAAGGTGGGGGGAGGGGCAGGGCGAGTCGCTCACCACCAGGACGTTGGTGCAGATCATGAGACTCTGGTTCTTGGTGAACGTCGACACGAAGTCCACGAGGGCCGGCCGGCAGTTGGGGGGCCCGGTGAGGACGAGGCACTGGGGTCTGACGCGGAGAGCACACAGCGGCGGTCAACGCGCACCCCGCGACGCCGCACAACGACAGTGGGGGGGGGGGCATGTGGGGGGGGGCATGTGCATCAAGAGAGAGTGAGGGGCGTGGGAGGCTACGGAGGTGACGGCGCAACGAGCCGCGAGTGAAGATGCTTCGCGGAGGTGAGGCAGAGTCGGAGACTCGCAGGGCGGCGCTAACTCCCAGCAGAGAGAGTGCTCGTGCTGTTAGGAAGAGCATCATGCAGTGTACGCCCACGGGGAACGCACTCGAGAGAGTGTTCCTAATGCAGTAAATACTGAGTTAGGTAACCGAGGTAGGTGCTGAGGTAGGCACTATGTAGGGACTGAGGGAGGTAATGAGATAGATATTGAATACTGAGGAGGCCGAGCAGGTACGGTTGGGTGAAGGAGGAGCGAGGAGGGTGAGCGACCTACCGGAAGTTCTTGATGTGGTCCTCCACGGCGTTGAGGCTCACGACGTAGCCCAGCGCCATGTTGTAGGAGCTCGCCTGCACCGAGGAGCCCCAGTTGACGTCTGCGAGGGGGAGGAGATGCGCGGCCGACGCGGCGAGGAGCGTGTCAAGCACACGCACACGTGGGAATCGGGACAAGTTCCGAAAGGAAGATGCCGGACGCAGGTGCCCGCGCGGACGAGGCGGCAGAGCGAATGGAGAAGGTGGATTCTGGTAGCGGAGGACAAGTTACGGTGGAGTAGGGGTTCTGATGGACGACGTGGGATTTGGTGGAGACGGATCCTGGGATTGAAAGTGCCTCCCAGTGGTGGAGATGACACAGTGGCTCAGATTCGTAGAGCATCACGTGACACCGAACAGTGATGGAGAGGCGTGTGAAGTGAGCTGTGAAGGATGGAGGAGGGATTAATAATAAAAAAAAGGCTTTAACCCTTTCCGTTGATACTACAGGAGGTGTTAAGATGTTCAAACACCAAGTGGACACCGATTGCGAGGCATCGTCAACTCTGCATTGACCGCACATCATGCTTGTGGTAAAGCGTGCAAACAAGCGTGTTGCAGTAGAAGTGTTCGCGCCGCCCTTGAAAACTGATCGGCGACGGCCGCCGGCGCCGACAGCCGTCGCCGCCGGCGCGGGGCGGCGTGCGGCGGGCACCGTCACCTGGCTTCTTGTAGGTGACGTAGGCGAGGAGGAAGACGACGATGCCCACCACGATGAGCGCCGCCCACCAGGTAAGCAGGAACATGATCACCACCGAGATGACGGCGCCGAACAGCGCCACCCACTTGTTGTAGAAGCGGAAGGACGGGCGCCACCCTGCACGCGGTCAGACACGGGAGCTGTGGGACGCGACGACCGGCCGCGCGGCGCTGCTGGCGGCACGCAAAGGCGCAGCCCTGCAGCTGCTCGCTCGCGGCACTGCTGGCGGGAGCCCTCGGAGAGGCCCTCGAGACGGTGATTTTGACCGACTACTCCACGCTGGCCATGACGTGTTGGAAGAGCGATGGATACCCACACTTTACTCTCGAACACGCGGCCTGCCTATCAATTAGCTGCGGTGTTACCCGTGTACACCGTTGCATGGACAGAGGTGGTGGTGGGGGGGGGTTAAGAAACGTGACCCCCATTGTTCCCGTGCTGTGCTGCGTAAATACCGCACCGACCCCTCACTCGTTCGCAAATGTAAGCGGTGGCGTCGGTGGCAGTGCCGGGGGTGCGGTGGTCACCTGGGGAGTTGGTGATGGAGGCGTGGAAGCAGGAGAAGTTGATGAGCGCGTAGGAGGCCAGGTAGAAGTTGGAGATGATGGGCGCAATGGTGTTCAGCTCAGCTATGGAGGCACACACGTCACGCCGGCGCACATCCGAGAGTTACCGTCACGGAGCAGCCTCGTCATCTCGACCGACGCATGCAGAAGCATCGTAACGAGGGCCCTGATCCTCGCCACGTCACAGCTTCCTATTCGTTTAGCCGCTGGTGCCTCCACTGCAAGCCCGTGAAGTCGAAGCTCGGTGGATCAAGCGCGCAAATCTGTGAAACTTTCTACCCGTGGGCGTCGAGGTACGGCAGTACAGCAAGAGAGTTAATTTCCATCTGTACAAGATTGAGTGCTAACCCCCTCACACGCATTATCGAGTTGACCAAAGGTCCACATATAGGACTACAGAGCTTGGGCAATTGTGGGCTTGATGGTGGTTTTCCGCACCTATTTACTAGCCGTTGTCTCTCGGAGAGTGAAGAAAAATATATTATTATTCATGGACAATTTTATAGAATCAAAAAAATTGCAAAGAAAAGTCTGAACTGAAGTCAAAACATCTCTACGCTCAAAGAAGCACGGGGCGGCACTCATCCCTGTTGGTAGCCCTCAGCCAATAATGTGGAAATTCCACGTTTCTCTGGGAGGGACCGGTCTCTCGACGCGATAAGCCGCCAACCGACTACGAGGACGATGACGGCGCGTGGCCCGGCCGGCGGAGGCCCCGAACCATTCACAGCGATTACAACACAGTCCCCCTAACAGTGCAAGTTCATAATCGTAAGACAAATAAAAGTTTCACAGTCAGCAAGTGCTGACGAGAGTGGCTCACCCCCCCCCCCCCCCCCCCATGGAACACGAACCCGGCGTGGGGGTGACCGTGGGAACCCGCGGAGAGGCGGGGACCCCAGCGTGCCACGCGGCACCGTTCATCTCTCCCTCAAGGCTTCTCAAGAGGCCCCTCCGTCAAAGTCCATCGGCTGCCACGGCGTGCGGCATTGTCCACCGGCCGCTGTGGCCAATTGTGCAATTGTGCGGTTTTTTTTTTACCCTTTGATTGTTTTACCGCTCTTGAATCGTTTACGGGGGCGAGTGGCACACGCGAGAAGTGAGGGTCGCGTATCCGTGTCATCCCGGTGGGGATCACACGGCACTCCGGTCCCACGTTCCGCTCTGGACGTATGTACGTACGTACGTGTGTACGTTGAACTTCTTTCGCACCGTACGTGGCCAACCCTGCCCATCGGAGGTGTGGGCGAATAACTCCGCGAGCAACTGGCCATTTGCCGCGGCCTCACAAGACTTCGAATCTGGTTTGGGGGCCAAGCAGGGCCAGGGGCGGGGCCAATGAATCGGATCGTTGCTTGCGGCGCCAACGGCGCGGCTTGGCTTCGGCAGTGGTAAGCCGCTGGGCCGGGTTGGCACGGCGTGGCCCCGGCACTGCTTGGGGGGTGTGCCGTGGAAAAAGAAGTATCGGTGGCCTGGGGGGATTGGCGCTCCGTTCCCCCTTGGGTCTCTCTGGTGCCGTGCGGTCGCAATCACTCACCAATAAGGATGAACCCGGCCGCGATGAAGAAGGTGAGGACGTAGCCCGGGATGGGCTCGTCGTTTTTGCCGAAGCCACGGCCAAAGAAGCTGATGCCTGGGTACAGCTGGTCCCTGCACAGGCACTGCACGGCAGGGAATGGTGACAACCACAACATCTCACTTGGTATTCGCGCAATCGTTCGCATTGTGCAGTCGTTGCAATGTTGCTGCGACGCTATTTTTGTTATAAGGCGTAATCCCACCTGGAAGACCTTGGGAGCGCTGACGAGGCAAGCGAGGGCGGAGGAGAGCGTGGCGCCGAAGATCCCGGCCGTGATGAGCGGGGCGAAGCCGGACACCAGGCTCATGGCCTGCGCAGGTGATGGCGCCACACACCACACGCGGTCACACACGGGGTTAGGGACACCGTGCAGTGTTCAGCCACTTCGTGGGAAGATGAAACAAGATAAGAGATGGAGCGGTGGCGCAGCGATTAGTGCACCACGAGAGGAGCCCGGGCGAAGCGAGCTCGGAGACCGCGGCACGCACCTGGTAGTGGTTGTAGAGGCCGTAGGTGCAGGTCTCGGTGGCCGTGCAGGCCGAGAAGTTCCAGCCGTACTTGCAGTCGAGGCCCGTGCACTCCCCCCCCACGCCCAGCACGGCGAGCGTGTCGTTCATGTCGCCGGAGGCATCGCGCAGCACGCACGCGCCTGCACGGCACGGGCGGCACGGGGAGGGAGCGGGATTAGTGCGGAGCGCGACACGGGGCCTCGTCGGCGAACGGCGGCGCTACCGCTGAGCTCGCGTTCAGTAGAGCCGTCGTACACTCTCCACGTGAAGCACAGGCTTACTCATGGCACAAGTTTACTCATGACACAAGCTTACTCATGGCACAAGTTTACTCATGACACAAGTTTACTCATGACACAAGCTTACACATGGCACAAGCTTACTCATGACACAAGCTTACACATGACACAAGCTTACACATGACAAGCTTACACATGGCACAAGCTTACACATGGCACAAGTTTACTCATGACACAAGCTTACACATGGCACAAGCTTACTCATGGCACAAGTTTACTCATGACACAAGCTTACACATGTCACAAGCTTACACATGACAAGCTTACACATGGCACAAGCTTACAAATGACACAAGCTTACACATGACACAAGCGTACTCACGACACAAGCTTACACATGACACAAGCTTACACATGGCACAAGCTTACACATGACACAAGCTTACACATGACACAAGCTTACTCACGACACAAGCTTACACATGACACAAGCTTACACATGACACAAGCTTACACATGACACAAGCTTACTCACGACACAAGCCTACACATGGCACAAGCTTACACATGGCACAAGCTTACAGATGGCACAAGCTTACTCATGGCACAAGCTTACTCATGGCACAAGCTTACTCATGGCACAAGCTTACACATGGCACAAGCTTACACATGGCACAAGCTTACACATGACACAAGCTTACTCATGGCACAAGCTTACTCATGGCACAAGCTTACTCATGGCACAAGCTTACTCATGGCACAAGCTTACACATGGCACAAGCTTACACATGGCACAAGCTTACACATGATACAAGCTTACTCATGGATGCACGCAGAGCCGTCCCCAGGGTACGGAGAATCGGGGCGACCCAACTCTGTAACAGCGGCGGCAGTACGAATACATCACTGTCACCCATTGCCGATCGCTGCCGCTGAAGAGGAAAAATGCCAAACGGAGAAATGTCACGCAACTCACAGAACCCACGGGTGGTGCATTGCTCACCGATTGTTGCCGAGATGATTATGTAGGAGACGGTGGTCCAAAAAATGGCCATCATGGTTCCCTTGGGAATCGCCACCGCCGGGTTCTGCACGGACGACACGTCACGACGTACACACGCCACGCTTCTTAACTTGATGATGTCAAACATTTGCTCCATATGACCGAATGCGACATGAAGGAAGCAGAGAGAATTGTGGGATAGCGAAGCAGTGGCGTGGGAAGCTGAGGTAACGGATCTGGGAAAGAGATGGAGCGACTAAATCAGCGCACGCACAGGCTCCGGACGGATTGTTCCATCGCAGAGCGGCGAGAGGTGGCAACTGCCTGCGGCGTCCTTCATCCAGCAGTGGATTTGATCATGATCGACGACGATGGTGATACGCAGCCCATCTCCGAGTGGCAGGTGGAAGAACGGTGCGGTTGGCTGCACAGCGGGGTGCGTGGCGGGGGAGAGCTAACGCGGTATGGCAGAGCGTGGGCAACATTGCCACGGCGGCGGAATGGGAGGAGTTAAGTTGCGTGCCCTCGATTCACGCGGAGAGAAGTCGGAGGGCACGGGCTATTCTACCTTGAGATCCCCGGAGATGTTCGCTCCGGCCAGGATGCCGGTCGCCGATGGGAAGAAGATGGAGAACATCCCAAAGAAATTGTTGTTGGTGCCGCGGAATGCCGGCACAAAGTTCGTGGCAAAAATGTCCGCTGCAGGGCGGAACAAAAAACAAATCTTGTTGAAGGTAGAACGGGCGGGCACGGTGATCACGTTACGGCGCGCCCATGCGTCAGTTTAGAAACGAAAACCCAACACGTGGAACCTCAAAGGCAAAACACACAACAGGTGACATTTCGGGCGACGGCCCTGTTGCATAGCACATCTACAGAGACTGATCGACCTCAGCCAACGTCCCGCTCGGCTACGTGGAGGGAGGCAGAGTGGCAGGGAGGGAGGGGGGGAGGGAGGCAGGGAGGGAGGGGGGGAGGGAGGCGGGAGGAAGACAGGGAGGGAGGCGGGAAGGAGGCAGGGAGGCAGGGAGGGAGGAGGGGAGGGAGGCAGGGAGGGAGGCAGGGAGGGAGGGGGGGAGAGAGTGAGGTAGGGAGGCAGGAGGAAGGCAGGAAGGCAGGGAGGCAGGGAGGGAGGGGGGGAGGGAGGGAGGGGAGGTGGTAGGGAGGGGGGGAGGGAGGGGGGCGGGAGGCAGGGAGGCGGGGGCTGTGCTGGCACCCGCCGCGGGGCTCTCACAGCGGTAGCTGAAGAAGCCCTTGGACTGCTTCTCCTCGGTGGCCGGGATGATGGTGCCCACGATGTAGTTGACGAACGACACCATGATGACGAAAAAGAAGACGACCTGGGCCTGCACGCAGCGCAGAGTCAGGAGATCGCTCGAGGTTCTCTCCTCGCCCACAGAGGGCAGCGTCTACACGGGGCCTCGTGCTATGCGAAGATTTTCTTGACCAACATTAGGCATTGGGCTAGATATTAGGGTTATGTTTGAGGTGTAATGTCAATTGTTGATGATAACCCTCCACCACCCGACGACAGAGCCAAAAAAAATAAAGCTGTTGTGTGGCTAAATCTACAAATCGATTTGGTTATTGACACGAGCACCGGTCATCCTCGCAGCAGCTTTTGGATGGCCATCGAACAAAGACGGTCACCGCATCGCGCGGCGCTTTCGGGTGCGCTTCTGCGGCCGTCTGGAACGCTCTTCCTTCCGATATTAGGAAGCCACTGGAGCTGTGCACTTTTAAATAATCTAAATTGAAAAACTCATTTCTTTAGAACTGATTTTTGTAGTTTAGTTTGTTGTCCTTTCCCCCGCACCTCTCATTTAGCACGGTTAGCTATGTACGGTGCGACAGAAAGCTCAACATACGTACACACATTCAGCAAAAGCCGCAATGCTGATGAGCGTCAATTTTTAATTCTCGACGTTTCCCCGGAGATTCCATCCGCAGTCTCCCGGCGTAACCAGGAGCTGGGTTCTGCGGCCCACTCGGGGGCCGAGCTCCCCTTTCGTGAGGGCCGGCGACCTCCGCGTTCCGTCTCCCGAGCCGAGGGTGTCGCTAACCTTGGCCTCCCACTCCATGCCGGCCAGCGAGATGCCCAGGAGGAGGACGACCGTGATGATGCCGATGATGCGGATGTCGTTGACGAAGTCCACGATAATCACACTGTTTTCCTGCAACCCAGCGGGGAGCGGGGTGGGGGGGGTCGGCAGTGGGGGGGGGGGGGGGGGAGAAATCAATAAGTGAGGATGGGCCCCAGGGATCTGTCAAAACGCTTGAACAAATTAAACTGTACTTTTTATTTCACAAGCTAAGGCCCCACTGAGCTATATAGCTCTTTTTCAAGAGCTAACCAGGCCAAAAATGATAGCTCAACGCAGTGGCGTATTCATCGTGTGGATATTTATAGCAGCCAAATACTCTAAACGCGCGATGTTGATTCTAAATGGGGAAAAACCGGAGGACCCGGAGGAAAATCCACGTTACTCCAAATGTAAAGCAGGGCCAGGATCGAACCCACGACCTCCTGTATCCCAGGTGCGAGAGTTAACATCTGATAGCCACCGAGATGTGTACGAAGTGCGCAGTTGGGGCGTCACGCGCATCGGAGGGGAGTGGTGGGACGCGTGGCGGCGATGGAGCGGGGGGGGAGGGGTTGGTGGAGGGCACTCACGAGCATGAGGTCGCGCACGGTCTCCGCAAAGCCCACGGTGTGCATGGCCACCGCCACCGCGTTGGCGAAGGCGAAGATGAGGCCGATGGAGCCGCCCAGCTCGGGGCCCAGGCTGCGCGAGATGAGGAAGTACGTTCCACCTGGGCGACGAGGCAAAGGGTCGCGAGGAGGTGAGCGCCGCCGAATGGGACCCACACATTATCGTGCGATGTATGTATATACACACAAACATCACAAACCCTGCCGGGGATCGGTGTTCTATGAACGCGGTAACACGCCCGCAGTGCCCCCAAGGGGCGTTCCCCTGACCCCCCCACACTCACCACCCGCCCCTCGCCACCGGTTTTCATTCCACTGATTCGCTCAGCTCCACTTTGAAATTCCCTCTCCCCTCATCGTCTCGCTTACCCCCCCGCCCCCCCAAGCTCTTACAACAACAAAACAAAAATAATAACCTCGCGCAGCTCAAGAAACGCGTCGCAGCCACATCTCTTCACAACTTCGGCGGTGCTGTTTGTCGCTGGCCCCTTGTGGCACTGTGGGTTTCGAGAATGAGATTTCCAATTCACAAGATAAAACTAAACTTAAAAAAACTATCTTTTATTTTACCGTGTAAGGCTCACTGAGCTATATAGCGACCTGGTCACAAATGATAGCTCAACGAAGTAGATTATCATTGTGTGGAAATTGATAGTAGCAACCAAATACTCTAAACGCACGTTGATTCTAAATGTGGAGAGAAAAACTGGAGGTTCCGGAGAAAAATCCACGCTACCACGGGAAGAGAGACACATGCAAACTCCAAATATACAGCAGGAGCTAGGGTCGGGATCGAACCCACGACCTCCTGTATACCGGGCGAGGAAGTTAACATCTCCTAGCCACTGTGGTAGATGACACTGACAGAGCGAGCGGAACCACCACAGGTGTCGCTAGGGAGCTCCCAGCCGAATCCCGCCATGCACTTGACCGCCGGGGGCGAGCGTGGTGACCCCTGGCTCCTGGCCCCTCCCCCCTCCCCCCTCCCCTCGTGACCCCTCCCCCCTCCCCAAAGGGAGCGTGGGGGTCACCTGCGGTCCGCACGGCAACTTACCGGACTTGACCTTTCCATTGGTGGAGATGGCGGAGATGGAGAGGCCGGTGATGCTGGTGACCACCACGGACATGATGATGATGACCCACGTCAGTCCTGTTGGGCCAAGGAGGGAGGTTCATCGACAGGCGGCTCTCCTCCGTTTACTGAACCACGTCGCCGTGGTGTCATCAGTCAAGCCGAGTAAAGCCGAAACGCTCACATCATTTGCATACAGACTCGACTATGCACACACAGGAATAGTCACAATATCAACACTGCGCAGACAGCGTTTTTGGCTGGCAGCGAGTGACGCAGCAAATCGCAGATTTTGTAAACGAATCGCCCGCTCGTCCGTCCGCACGTTCGTGTCCACTGCACTCCCGAGGGCCCTTTGCAGTGGAACGAGTTACAGGTTGGAGGGAGACAAAGAGGAACGCGGAGCGAGTTGGCGCGCTGGGTGTCGAGCCTCGTGAATGATGCTTACTTAGAAGGAGATATTGCACACCTGTCAACCCCTTATCTTATTACAGACCAATTCAGACCTTATTGGTCACCCCGTTCCCTTATAAATCTCAAAGTTAATCCTACAAAGTGCCATCACAACGGAGAAACGACAAATAAATAGACAAAACAAAACTCAATTTCCCATTACACAAGAATACGGGGTAAACCGTATGGGTCGACACGGTATGGAATTGCAGAGGTTTAGCGACTAGATTCCGGCAGGCCGCCCTGGCTGTCACTGCCGGCGTGTCTCACCGCAATAACTCCGCGCCGTCTGCAGCGGTGGACGTTAAAGAACCCGGGGGCCTAGGCCCATTGCGTGCCGGCGTCATGGGCCAAAGTGCAAACATTTCCCTGCATTTGTTCAGTCGGGAGTACGCATAGCCAACATCGTCCCCTGCTGAGATACTCCTGCGGTCTATACCCGTCCGTGAAACATAGCGCCTTGCGCTATGATGAATGCGGTGCGAATACCACGTGCACTAAAACTACAAGAGAGTGTTTGGTTAGGAGGTTACGGTCGGAAAATGAGAGACAGAGAGGTGGGGTGGGTGGGCGGACGGAGCACATGGCCCTATTTCATGATAACGCGAGCAACTTAAAACTCGTGCGACAGAAGTCTCACCGATGCCTGCCTGGCCCGTGATCCATGGAAGGCGCAGGTAGAGAATCACACCCCAGATATTGAGCATGCACCGGATCTGTGGGATGCAAAGCGTGGTCGGTAAAGGGCTCATTCGAAAATGACACCGAAAAATTACTGCATTGGGAACGCACACGCACATACACACAGAGCAGAGTCCGTTGGGTCACCACCTGCCCGGGTTTGTTGCGTGGTCGACCACTCGCTGGCAGAGGCTGCTGCTGCTGCTGCCGCCGCTCCCCGGAGGGGACACTGTTTGTGAACCGCCGCGTATATACAACGGAGCCCCGCTAACCCGCCACCACCCCACCCACCCCTTCCCCAGCGCTTGTTGCTGCGAGGAGGCGACTCACCATGACCCCCTTGACCCATCCGAAGCGCACGGGTTTGTACTCCTTCATCTTCTTGAGGTTCGCCTTCACCTCGATCTCCGCCGCCGCCTCTTCCTCCGGCGTCGGCTCCGCATTCTCGAAGTCGCCCCTTCCGAAGTTGACCCCCAGCTGCGGCACGGACACGCGGGACACGGACACGCGGGGGACGGACACACGATGGTGAAATCATCTGGTATGCAGGCGGTGCTTGTGGATTATTGCATCGTTAGAGCAGTGCGCTAACCACTGCGCCACCGCTCTCCCACCTTGAAACCAAACATTCAAATGTAAACTTATTATTTGGATACTGCTGCTGCTGCTTCTTTGGCGGTCGTGCGCAAGCAACAACAACAACACTCAACATCATTTGTCAATAATTCTGCAGCCTTAAAAGAAAATATATATCGGAGACGTTTCGGGCAATTACCCTTCACAAACTTCAAAAAGGTGCTGCTGGGTGACGTTGACTTTTTTCTAGAGCAAATCGTTCAAACTTCTGCGGGGAAAAAAACGACTTGTTATCACTACAGTCTGTGTTATCACCACAGTATGTGTTATCACTACAGTATGTGTTATCATTACAGTACTTGTTAACAATACAGTACTTGTTATCACTACGGTACTCGAATGTGCTGCATGGAGCTTCTCCCGAGCAATCGAATTGAGCTTCTTCGGGAACGGATTTGGGAGAGGCTCTCGGTGGCACGCGGAGCGAAACGTCGGACATGCTACCGAACGACTCGCGGGGTGCGACCCGAAAACAACGCGGCAGAGCTACCCAGCCAGCACACGACCGTTGCGAGCTTCTGTTGTTCTACACGTGCGTGATGATGACAGCAGTCTGCTCAGGAGCTCGAGAGAGAGAGAGAGAAATAAAGTCGGTGTAGTTTTGCTCTCCCTCTCAGCTGTGAGCGGCAAAAGCGGCGGCTCTCTAATTCGCACGCGCACGACGAGAGCGCGCATCGCAACAGCGGCATCAGCGCACGCCACAAAAGCGGATGCCGTGACAACAACAAACAGCAAACACGGAGAAATGCGCAGCGTCGCGCGTGTAAAAAAAAACAACACGCGAAAGCCACCTGCTCAAGATAACTGCATGTGCGGCCACTGCTCTGGTCTCTGTGCACTCGGCACCACAGAGCGCGCGTGCGTAGCGTAGCGGACGCGCGCGTCTCACTGCGGGCTGCGGGAGGGCGAATCGACCACGCCGCGACCTGGCACCTCCACCGGAGGTGTCGAGCTGCACGGCCGCCACGGGGTGACTGGGAGCAAGCGGAGCAGGCGCGGACGATCGGTGCCCACCACACCGCGCCCCCCCCCCCCACCACACCGCGCCCCCCACCACACCGCGCCCCCCCTCCCCCATCTCGAGGGTAGTGGACGCAGCGAGCGCCACCGAGGCGATCTTCATCCGGCGACGACTCCTCCGATGCGTCGCTCTCGGCTGCTCGCGGCGTCTCGACGCAAGGGGCTGTTCCTCGCGCTGGAGGCTTGAAGGGGCTGCGATCGCACTTGCGTTGGAGTGCGTCGACCCGCCGAGTGGTTCGATAGGCGCACGATTATGTTTCCACGTAAGAGAAAATAAATGTAATTCTTACACCGCCCGGCAAGCAATCGTTCAGTAATTTAAAACGCAGGCCGTCACGACCAATGCATATCATGGCTCATGGTTATTTTCTCTTGGGGTTAGAGCGTGTAGACATAATGCCCACGTTCGCTATAACCCTGCACCACCCGACAGAGCCGATCAAATCGAATCAATAACAATAATAATAACAACAATAATTTACATTTATTTGTAAGGCGCCTTCCACAAATGTCTCAAGCCGTCAAGCGAAGCACAAAGATCCCCAAGTGATTTGGGTTTTTTTTTTCCGCAAACCGGAGGAGTTTCGATTTAAAGCTTTCGTGACTTCAAGGATTCATAAATTGATAAAATAAAATAACACAATAATAGTCTCACGACGTTTCGGCCACAACACAAGCGGCCTTCATCAGGTGAAGGGACGAGACTGTCTGGAGGAAAGCGCTTGTGTTGTGGCCGAAACGTCGTGAGAATATTATTGTGTTATTTTATTTTATCAATTTATTATTTTATTCTCATTCTACGTGACTTTACCGAAAGAACCAAAGAAGACGGAGGAGAAGTGTTGACAAGCGAGCAGAGTTTTGACAATTTTTCTTTTGTAATCTCTAGCCAAAAACGTCGTTCGTATAAGATCGTCAAATCGCTGCTCGCTTTTCAGCTCTCCGTCTGCTCGTAAACCAAATCGAGCGGCACGTCGGCCCACGTTGCGGCATTAATTGAATGTCTGTCGGGTGGTGGAGGGTTCTACGAAACCGAATTACAATACACCTACACGATTATCTCACCCAAAATGAACGAATTACGAATAATAGTTCAGAACACTGGACCGTAACTAGAACATGAAGATCAATAAAGGGCGATCCACTTACAGACACTCCACGGGTTTCTAACAACCCCTCTCTTAACAGCTGATTGCATCTTGGCTGGTGAAGGCAGAGGATAGTTAGCGACCTCCCACTGAGTCAAGGATTGCCCTGGGGGCTTCGACACAGCGACGGACAGAGACAGAGAGTGAACTACAAAGACAAAAGAGACGCACACACACACAGAGAGACCGCCAGAGAGACGCACACGCTCGGAGCCCCCGAGACAAAATTAACGCGAGGTCGGCACGGCACGCGATGAGTTGGGTTGGCAAGGACCGCGCCCTGCCGGGCCGGCACCAAAGTCAAATAGAGAGAGAAGTAACGGAGAGAGACTGGATAGAGAATGCGCGTTGCGTGCGTGTGTGCGTGTGTGCGCGTGTGTGCGCGCGTGTGTGGGTGCGTGTGTGCGCGCGTCTCACCCCCTCGAGGCCATGCAGCGCGGCGAGCGAAGGGCGCTGCTTTCGCGTTGCCCCTGCCACATGCGTGTTGCAGTAGTAGTCGAGGCGCGGCACCGCGTCCAGGGTGTTGTGGCCGAACGTGCGCATGGACGAGGTGGAGCTCGACTGCGTGCCGTACAGCTGCTGCTGCTGGGTGCTCTCGTACGAGGGCGAGTCCGCGTCTGCTGCGGCCGCCTCCTCGCACGAAGTGAGGCGGCTGATTCGGAAGCGGCCCTGCGGCTCCCCGCCCGTCTGGCACACCGGATCCAAGGAGATGTCGCTGGCCATGGTGGTGGAGTCGTGGCGGACGCGCGCACTTTGCTGGAGGGAGGAGTTTGCCGACTACTGACTCTTGATGAACTCCGGGTTGATGCGCAGAGCGCGTTATATAGCACGGGACGGCGGGGGGTCGGGCCAGACCGGATCATTCTCGCGGTGTGCCCACCCGTAATCCACAAAGCGGGGTGGTGGGGGCGCGCGGGTCCATCAAAGTGTGACTTGCTAATTGCGGCAGTAAACTCGGGGCTGCACGTTGTCCCGAGACATAAATAACTCACAGAGGTTAAAGACGGAGTCGCGTGGAGGAGGAGGAGGAGGAGGCGGGGGAGGGAGGTCATCACAATGGGTTTGTTGATGTTCACGTGCAGCCCAGAATTCACAATGGGGGTGAAAGCGAGACGCGCGCCCTGCCAGGATAAACACGGGCGAGCTTGGCTCACGCCGCGTCGCAGCGAGTCTATTTACTCACGGCAGGCGCGAGTCGCTAACTCGCACAAACGCACGGCGGCGTAACACGAATAGACGAGGGAGAACGGAGCAACGGGATGCATCACGATTTAAAACGTCAAGGAGGTTTTTTTTTTAAGTGTGTGTGTGTTTTCATTATATCTCGTTCAAAATACTTGCGTTCATAAAGCAGCGGATCCACAAGGACTCGGTCATAAAAGCGGCAGCCCGTATACGGCCTGCTCGGCCCGGTGTGTGTGCTGTGCGATTTGGGAAAAGATGGGAAGGAAGCCGCGGCCGTTCTGGGCGCAGGAACGCGCACGCGGAGTGCGCACGCGGGACACGCGGCCTCAGGCAACGAGGAGTCAACGGCAGCGTCGGTATGAGCAGGAGGAGCAGGAGAAGGCCACGGCGAGCCCAGGGACTTGCGGGGAGCGCCGGCCGCCCGAGTCGCGACCATCCAGACCCATGGGAATATCCCACTCAACTCGCTCACTGTCTGGGTTGAATTTGCAGCTCAGTTATCCATCGGCTCGCCCCCACCACATCGCCAGCCACGCCAGCCACCCAAACATCCCAAACAACGAACCAGTCACACCACCAATCACACCCCACCAAAACCACACCAACCAACCACACAAAGGACAACCACGGCCACACCGACAACCACACCGCGATGCAGGCCGTGACGAGTCATGGCAAGGGCAGAGGGCAAGTGCCACCGTGGGTGCTGCGGCGCTGCCCTCTGCTGACAACAGCGTGCCCCCCCCGCCCCTCTCCAGCAACCTCGCACAGCACCACCTGCTGTGCTGCACCTGCAGGGTGCACGCACAGACAAGCGATGCACAGGCTTAAAATCCTGCCTAGCTCCCTCCATGAGACGTGTTCGGACGACGGCAGGCTAGGCGCACGCCGTAAAGACGGCGCCATTGTGTGCCCATGAAGCGTTCTCTTCAAGGTCGTGCAATGACATGAGCACGACCTGGACGTGCGTTCACGTGATGATGATCATCATCATCATCATTCGTTTGTTTACCCAGAGAGCCTCACTGAGGCTCAAGACTGTGGCGCAGGAGGGTCCTGCGCTGAGTGTCTGGCTACGCTGTTCCATCCATGCGTGCGGGGAGGTGACTTGAGTGAGCCAGAGGAAACCTGTGCACATGCGGGGGTAACTCTCTAAGCTCCGCACGCACGGGCACACGAGCCCACTTGCTGCACTGACATGTCCCGGTCGCAGCGCAGCCCTGCGGGGTTTGGGAGTTTCACAGATCTCTACGTGATCCACCAACCCTTGCCCCTATCCCCCGAAACGCCGACGAGGGCACAAATGAGGAATTTACCACCAAAGCGGCACAGACGCGCGACTCTCTCGGCGGTGTTGTCTTTGTCTGAGTTAAGGTTTTAGATTGCCAAGCAAGTGCAGGACTCGAGAAAACAACACACAACTATTATGATGATTATTATAAGTGCGGGTCCCAATTATTAAATGAATCGTTAATTCGCGTGGCGATCCTGCGCTTTCGAGATGGGCCTGGACCCGTTGCGCGATAACAACTGTCTAGACGTGCTTGGTAGAATTCATCAGAACGCCGACGAGTTGTTTATTTGTCTCTTTATTGATTTATTTGCCGACGCGATTCCAGTTAACGTGCCTTCGGCCCCGCGTGCACAAAAAAGGAAGAAGCGGCACCGGCAATGACCATCGTGGTTCGCGAGTTTAGCAACCATCTGATGGTGCCGACACAAGAACATATAAAAGCATCGTCGTCGTTATTATTCACAGCCCGTTGAGTGGCCCTCACGCTACGTCTGGCGATGAGCAAACTCAGACTTCAAGGCCGACTCTTTGCGCAGTGCGCGCCTTTTGTGGATTGTAATAAGGCGCGGCGCGCACTCGCGCGAAGCTCCAATCGCCTACCCGGCACGGACTCCTCCTGACTAGGGCAAACGCGAGCCGCGAACGATGTCGTTCCATCTCCATCATCTCCCTCTCTGTCTCTCTCTCTCTCTCTTCGTGCTCGACGATGACCACGTGCCCTGTTTGTGTTGTGTGTGGCGCGTGCAGCTCCATGTGCCGCGGCTCGTCATTTTTTATTGTGTTTTTTGTTGTTTGTTTGTGACTTTTTGTATCGAAATCGGCCCCAGTGCTATTGCTGCTAGCAGCAATAAAAGTGTTTTTGAAAGTCAAAAGACTCCGTCTAGCTGCCTCTCTCTCTCCGTCTCCCTTTCTCCCGTCTATCCCCATCTCCCCCCCTCTCTCTCCCCCCGTATACCCACTCAGTCATTTGCTGAACGTTTTTGCAAATGAAACAGTTGTGTTCGGTTGTAGATACGCGGCGTGACCAACAACAGCAGGGCACAGACATTGGCGATCGTTCGGACCTCAGTGGCGTGACTATGAACCCAGACGAGATCTGAGATAAAGATAACAAATACAACACAATCGCATTGCTCATAAATGTTGTAAGTAGGCAGTCTTGACTTAATGCATTGATTTAAAATAGAAACACGACTGACGGTCTCGGCCAGATGTTACTAAGCGTGGCGGGAAGGTCCTAAGATTCGCGAATAATGATTTTATAGGAACGTGCAACTTGACAATATAACTGCGACGACGCTCTTACGTTGCATTACTCTGGAGGCAGCCTTAATCCACCAGCGTCTTGTGAACACAATTAGCTTGGAGCACAGGTGCAGAGGAGTTCAGTAGATTGGGGTGGGGGGGGGGGCAGAAGAGGCGACGAGACAAACCTAAAGTCCAGCGTGGTGAAGAAGTATGGTCAAGCAACCCCCACGAATCGGCACGGCGTTGTGAAAGATCTCACCCAGCAGTGGATTGAGAAAGGGCTGTGAATGAGGAAGTTCACAAGAGAGAGAGAGAGAGCACGACCCGGAACCTGTGGCACAGCGAGGCCTCAGTGAGAGCACTGCCGTTCTTTTAATCGTTCACGTTCACGCACGGACGTTGTTGTTAATCCACGGCTGGACGAGGGCCTCCCCGTGCCGTGCGTGACATTGCGGGCCGTTTGACCATACTTCACCACGTAGCCTCCTGCTGCCCCCCTCCCCACGTGGCCCCGCAGACCCCCCCCCCCTCCTCGAGGCCGAACCGCCGTGCACTGTGGTCGCCCGTCCAGGCACTGCCCAGGCTTCACCCCGGCTTGGCTTGCGAGGTTCTGACGGCGTCGCGCGAATTCTGGCGGTGGTGGCGGCTGCTGCTTGCACGTGGCGGCTGCTGCGCTGCACGTGGCCCAGCGCTGTGCGGGCAGCAGCAACAGCGAGGGTTGGTGGACCACCGCACAGATGTTACGAAACTCCGTTCGCGTGGGGGGTCGAGGGGGTGCCATACCCTTGGCTCGCCAGGAGAAGGCAGTACAGCAAATGTGTGGATTCCACCTGTCCCATATAAATTGTGATCTCTACGGATAAGCCGGTTTCCTCCCACATGGAAACACTTAGTTAATTTACCCGTTCCAACCTCAACATGAAGAGGATCGCAGAGCTTGGGAAATTGTTTGGTAGCAACGGCCCAACTGCGTGTCCGCTGCTTTGTATGTATGTTGCATGTACGAGGGAAAAAAAGTATTTGATCCCCTGCTGATTTTGTACGTTTGCCCACTGACAAAGAAATGATCAGTCTATAAGTTTAATGGTAGGTTTATTTGAACAGTGAGAGACAGAATAACAAGAAAAAATCCAGAAAAACGCATATCAAAAATGTTATAACTTGATTTGCATTTTAATGAGGGAAATAAGTATTTGACCCCTCTGCAAAACATGACTTAGTATTTGGTAACAAAACGCTTGTTGGCAATCACAGAGGTCAGACGTTTCTTGTAGTTGGCCACCAGGTTTGCACACATCTCAGGAGGGATTTTGTCCCACTCCTCTTTGCAGATCTTCTCCAAATCATTAAGGTTTCGAGGCTGACGTTTGGCAACTCGAACCTTCAGCTCCCTCCACAGATTTTCTGGCAAGGCCACTCCAGGACCTTAATGTGCTTCTTCTTGAGCCACTCCTTTGTTGCCTTGGCCGTGTGTTTTGGGTCATTGTCATGCTGGGATACCCATCCACGACCCATTTTCAATGCCCTGGCTGAGGGAAGGAGGTTCTCAGCCACGATTTGACGGTACATATCCCCGTCCATCGTCGCTTTGATGATGCGGTGAAGTTGTCCTGTCCCCTTAGCAGAAAAAACACCCCCAAAGCATAATGTTTTCACCTCCATGTTTGACGGTGGGGATGGTATTCTTGGGGTCATAGGCAGCATTCCTTCTCCTTCAAACACGGCGAGTTGAGTTGATGCCAAAGAGCTCCATCTTGGTCTCATCTGACCACAACACTTTCATCCAGTTGTCCTCTGAATCATTCATATGTTCATTGGCAAACTTCAGACGGGTATGTATATGTGCTTTCTTGAGCAGGGGGACCTTGCGGGCGCTGCAGGATTTCAGTCCTTCACGGCATAGTGTGTTACCAATTGTTTTATTGGTGACTATGGTCCCAGCTGCATTGAGATCATTGACAAGATCCTCCCGTGTAGTTCTGGGCTGATTCCTCACCGTTCTCATGATCATTGCAACTCCATGAGGTGAAATCTTGCATGGAGCCCCAGGCCGAGGGAGATTGACAGTTATTTTGTGTTTCTT